CTTGGCCTTTCCCCCCCTCCTTGTTTCTAATGCATGCCTCCATTTTTTTTGCTAGAGGAGATATTTTTTTTTTTTTTTTTGTATCAATTTCTCATTCCCAGCTCTGTGTGCAGTCATTTTTGTTGCCAAGGGAAATCATTAGCAGTAATAATGACTGTCACAGGGCGGGACTCGGCATACATAGAACACAGCATGCATTCTCTGTGGAAAAGGCCTGAGCCTATCATTTCCCTGCAACAGCCTGTAATAATTGCACCATCTAGATCAAGAGGTCCCAGGGGTTACTCCAGGTCTGTGAGTCACCCTGTGTAGCCTTTAGTGTGATCATTTCACAGAAGCAGCAGCAACAGGTAGGTTTATACTTCACATCTCTCTCTTTATTGTATTGAAGCAACTTAGATTGATGTAAAGTTTCCATTGAAGACTGAGACTACAGCTACCCAGAATTAATTTTAATTCTGTTTGTGTGTCGGTAGATTAAGGGACTAATTAGGGACTTATTGGGAACCTGACCCTTTTCCATCAGCAGAAGGAGCTTATACCTGCTTACATTTTGGATGGACATACCTTTTAACATGGGAGACATAAATGTATTAATACTGATGATTTCAGCTTGATATTTTAAAATGCAAGTGTATTTAGCTGCAAGAAGGTGTAACATTGGTTCAGTAATATTCTCTTTCTTCTGCAGGTGTTTTTGTAGAAAGCCCATATACACAGCTCCACCATGGATTTTCTGGACCGAAATATCAACTTCAAAGCTCTTTCCAAGTTTTCAAATATGTAAGTGATAATGTTATGAATAACCTTTCATTGAAATATTTGTAGGATTTTTTTAAATTTAGAATTCCCTGGCAGTTGTATTTGAAAGCGTAAAAGCCTATTGTGAAACCCCATGCTGGTCACTTTCATAGGATATAATGACGCCCATCATGGTCCTTTTTGAAATGAAAACTGTGAAGTGTCGGTGAAGTGGCTTCTACAGGACCAAACACTTTGTTCAGTATTCTGTGGCCTGAAGTGATACCTGAGTACAGAGTATTCGCAAATAGATTTTGTAGTCTCTGCTGTTCAGGATCTTGTGGCATAATATTTTGGTTTTAAAATGTTTATATTACATGTGGATATTTACCATTGTTCTTTTTTCTTTTATGGGTTTGCGAATACGGTCTATAAACTGAATGTATTAAAACATAGCTCCACCATTATAACAAATTAGATTATCAAAGGCAAGGCGGGGTATCTGTAGATTTATATATATGTGTCTCTCTCTCTCATATATATATAAATATTCTAGCACACCTTGGCAACAAGCAGTATTTGAATATTTGTCACTGCACGCTATGGATTCTGTACAGACATGACAAATTGTGCATTCCTTTGCTAACCTATTTCTAAGACTTGATAGACCGGGTAGTTAATGGTTTTTGGAAATCATGCAATGCACATGTTTTACAAACTACTAATTCTTCTAGGCATTGGATTGTTGAGCATATTTAGCGTATCTAGAAAGGAGAAGCTTAATTTCAGATACCAGATAAAAGCATCAGCAGAAACCTTACCCTTTTGTTAATATGCTTTGGGGGTTTAATATTTCATAAAAGTTATCTCAGTGCTACCAACTGATGTATTTTCTCCTGTTCCGGGGGTAGAACAGAGTGGTGAGCAGCATTGCTGCACCTGGCTAATGCTGTGCACCTAGCACAGCATTAGCCAGAGGTAAACCCGTTTCCAAACATATAGTTTTATAGGGCTGTTATGGTAGCCTGAGCAACAGTGGCAGCCAATGGGGTTCATGTGTGTACAGACAACTTATTAGGCAGATTCCTGCTGCCAGTGGGATCCTATGTAAAAACAATACATCTGGTGCAGGATGCCTGAAGTGTATACCTATGTGAACACCTCTTTTTTGCTTTACCAAATATACCATGAAAAGTGTTTTGTTATATCTGATTAAAAATACCTGTTGATTTTTCTCATCTTGTTCCCGTAAACGTCCTGAGCTCTCTGCCTGTGCACAAGGAGGGATATCGAGAGAAGGGGGAGATGAGCAGTTCTGTGTTTTTATCCATCAGCACTGATGTAGGCAGGGCTGACACCACATGCTTATGAATTCAGAGCTATGCTGTCATATCAAAGAGGAAGGTAGAAGCACACCATACTTCTGGCTGATCAGCTGTTTTTCCCCAGTCATCTTCCAGGACAGCCATCGAGATATAGGCTCCGCCTGCCTGCAACAGGAAACACATCAACCACATTAAATAAATAGACTCCTCCTTCCATCCCAAGTCAGTACCTGGTGTATAATCTGCCCCATGTACACAGCATTGCAGCCCTATGTATTTCAAATTACTCTCACAAATGGTGAGCAGTCATTGGTCCAGTGCTACTCAAAAAATAATTAAGGCACCTATTTTGTTGCTTCTAGCCAGTGATGTGAGCAGTTAAAATGCATGACATTTAATCCATTGTATGTGTTTTGTGTTTCAGTTCTCCCAGCACACAGCAACACTTAAAGCATGTGTATGCCAGCTTTGCTCTCTGTCTACTGGTTGCATCTGCTGGCGCTTATGTCAACGTGGTCTTCAGGTTTCTCCAGGTGAGTGAATTCCTGGTTAAACCTTTTTTTTTATTTTTTTTATTTTCCATGTTATGTTCTCTTTTGGGTACTTGAGATGTCTTCACCTATATACTACAAATGTTATAGACCATATAGAATTATTTAGCCCTGCACTGTAAAATTAGAACCGTATGGAGCATCTCCAAAGTGCAAGGCTGCAGTCAGAGATTTGAGTGTTGTTATATCTGTCTAATATGGCCGTTTCTATATAAAATATAGTAGATGTTTTCTAAACCTAGTATAAAGAAAAGTGTCTGATAGCAGAATCCGGCCATATCCTGACTTTCTTTGTGTATCCCAGTGGGAGTTTTCTTCGTAATTAGTTACGTGACCTAATAGACTTTATTATTTAAAGCAGTGGTTCTCAACCTGTGCAACCTCAGGACCCACATTTGTCCTTGGTCATTAAGTCACGACCCAAGTTGCACTGTGCGTTCCGATGCGGGCAATAGAACTGTGGGTGGGAGGTGCGTTTGAGGTGCCATTCAAATAAATGGCAATGCAGTGCACTTCTCACACCAGAACGCGTGGTAGGTGCGATTGCGTGGTACAGTGAGTTAATCGCACAGGACTATGCGATTAACGCACTGTACTAGTGTGAATGGGCCCTCAAAACACACAACCACAGACACAATCTCACACATACACTCCCCCAAAAATATATTTTTGTTCTTCTTCTTTTTTTTTTTTTTTTTAAGGTCTACCCAGTCTGTCTACCTTATGAGAACTGGAGTGGATCCTCAGCTGGGGTCCCAGTGTGGGCTGCTGTGCTGTGACAGAGCTCCATCAATATGTGCATTGCTTGTACAGCTCCCTTGTGTACCCTGTAGAGTTGTCGGGAGCCAGAATGTGACGTCACTCCGGTCCAGGCACCTCTACAGGGCACACGAGGGAGCTGTAAGTAATGCACATATGAATGGAGCTCCCTCCCAGCCATAGCCCCATCCCATCCCACCTCAAGCTGACACTCGGCACTGTGCAGCATATTTTGAATGGCACGAGAACTGACAGTGCTGCGCAAGAGGGAGGCTGAGAAGCCTCTCCCCTAGAAAAGTGGAAGGCACATGGGGACCCACTGAACACAGGGTCGCGACCCACTTTTGGGTCACGACCCACCAGTTGAGAACCAAGGATTTAAAGCACAAAAATATTGTATAAAATGTGCCATCCTTTGTCAGCATTTGTGATGCATACTTGCTATTTTCCCATACAGGGCAGCTTCCTGTCCTTTGCAGGCTCATTGGGCATGATGATGTGGCTGATGTTCACCCCTCACAGTAGAGAGACTGAGAAGAAACGCCTGGGAATCTTAGCCGGATTTGCCTTTTTCTCTGGTAACATTTAGCTTTATTTCCTGTTTACATTTCACCAGTAGATTAACACTGTTGAACCTGCAGTAGCCCTCCATGGAGCTTGGGATTCACTTTCATATATAAGTGCCAAGGCTTCCCCAACACATTCCTAGGCCATATTTAGACACTCATACATTGGATAAATGTTACTCTTGGTAATCGGATAAATCAGCACCTCTGGTTTTTTCACTGATGTATGCAATGGCTTTTAACCATACAGAGACCCCTTTAAAGAGAGCCATTCTCAATTGTAATTATGCAAGAATGTGGGCAACAAGAAGAACATATAGTCTTAAATGATTATAATTGTGCAGGCTATGTGTGAAATGTTTGTTTACCCCCTTAGTCTTTCTTAGTTGGTCTGATGATGACTGTTGGATTGGATTTTAGGGATCTGAGGCATATGGTTCCATGAGGTCTTACAGTGGCTGTCCTGTCAGCTGTCTGAACTATGCTAATATAAAGTATGCAGCCTTCCAGTTCCAAAGTAACCATCCAATACACTGTAGCTCTTCACATTCCTCTTATCTGTAGTGCTCTGTTAAGTGATGCTGTAATACATATTCAGGAGATGCTGTGAGGGGAATTTATCAAAGCTGGTGCAGACAAAAACTGGAGCATCTGTGCATGGCAGACAATCAGCTTCTCTCTTCAGTTAAGATTTGAAAATGAAAGAGAGAAGCTGATTGGTTGCCATGCACATTTGCTCCAGATTTTGTCTGCACCAGCTTTGATAAATTCCCCCCACTATGTGTTAACAGCCAGTTTGTCAAAGCAGCAACTGCCATTATATAACCAGTGACCACGGACTAGAGTCCTCCTCTGACAAAAAAATAAATAAATTCAGATTTGTGAATGCACCTACATATGACTGTTTGTTTTAATAATAAAAAAAAAAAGATTGCAGACCATTTGTTGAATGATTTCTGTATATTAAATGTATTTTATTTTTTTTTCCCTTAGGCGTTGGTTTGGGTCCTACTTTGAATCTTTGCTTGGCTATTGATCCCAGGTATTTACATATACAAATCAATGTTTACTGATGTCAGTGTACATGTAAAGTCTAGACAGAGGCATAGTTGAGTCCAGGAGCCTTCAGACACTGCTGTCAGCTTTAAAACTGGGGAAATGCAAAAGAGTCTGCATTGTCTTTTAGCAGTCAAGCCATTTCTAGTTTTTTTTTCCCCCGGTGTCTTGATGTGCATTAAAAAGCAGTTCGTTTCTTGGTGCACACTAAAAATGTTGTTAGCAATTGAATTTATTTAGTTGCAAACTAAAATTCTTTACGTTTTGCGGCTAGATTCCAAGGGCCGCAGCAGAATGTAAACAATGGAGAGAAATAGCCAGCCTGCTATTGGCTTTTTTAAATTCCAATAGCATGCTGGCTATTGTGCCCACCCACTGAGCAGTGGAATGGAGAACTTTCTCTCTCATGATCCACTCCGCTGCTCAGTAGGTGGGATTTCAATAGCCAGCCTGCTATTGCAATAGCCAATAGCAAGCTGTCTATTGAAACCCCGCCCACCAAGCAAAGGATCAGATGGAGAGAGGGGTTGGGGGGTGGTTGCTTGAGTTACTATTAACTCTCAAGCAACCAGAAACTACAGCTATCCAGCACCTACTGATCCCCGTGGGTATTGGATACCTGGGAGTTTACTGTACTTTAGGAAAACGGAAGTGTGATTGGACTCTAATGCATGTGACACTGCTCAAGTAAGTCAAAGATGGCAGTGTATTGTATGGGTTTTTACTGGAATTTTCTGGCTTTAAGCCTTTGATATTTCACAGCAAAACCAGCGTAGTAGGAGGGTCATTATATGCTCTGTAACCTAAGATTTGTTTGGTATAGTTGTAGTGGCCCTTAAACTTTGAAATAAAATATCCAGAATAAGAGAGTAACTGCAGCCTAGGCAATGTAATATTACTAATTAGGGCTGCAACTAATTATTTTTCATAATCGATTAGTTGGCCGATAATTTTTTTTTGATCAGATATAAAAAAAAAATGAAATACCATCCTTTAATTTAAAATGAAACGCACACACGCGGTTTTACAAACCTAAAGTTTACTTCAGAATAGAACTGCATTTATAACCCATATTGGTAACCCTGTCTAATGAGATTTTTCTTCTTAATCTAGCATCATTCCAACTGCTTTCCTGGCCACCGCAGTGATCTTCACCTGCTTCTCTCTCAGCGCTCTGTATGCACAAAGACGCACTTACCTGTACTTGGGAGGTAATGGTCACCCTGTATCATGTCACTACATGTTCTGTGTTGCACAAACTGTCTTCTCAATGTGAATGTGGTGTTTCTTACATAGGTATCCTGATGTCTGTTCTGAGCCTCCTTTTCCTCTCTGGATTGGTGAATATGTTCATTGGATCTACTATGCTTTTAAAAGTAAGTTTATGCATTGTTACGGGAATGCAGAATGTCTCTTTTAGATGTAGTTATGTGATTCCCATCTTGATCAGGTTGTGGGACAGTGTGTTATGTAAACATCTCGTGCAGACCTGTTTATCCAGTCTCAGAAGATAAACATGGGAGTAGTCGTATTTGCTTTCCCCACACTGTTTTATCAAACTGAACATCAGAATGAACATCGGAAAAAAAGGTTTATTAGAATGGTATGGGCAAAACTGTATCTTATTTGTGTATCATTCGGCAGTAGAGCCTCAAATCATCTCTGAATTGGTGCTGACACTGTCCTTCCTTCTGGAGGGTGACTACTTTTGTTCCCCATGGTCCCTGTGTGTGTTGTAAAGTAGCCACCGCTCCAAGCTCGATCCTGTGATGGACTACAATCTCACGTTTAGCCTACTAATTAGTATTGAGATTGTAGTCTATCATGGGAGTGAGCTTGTAAAGTAGCCACTGCTCCAACACACAGGGATCATGTGGACCAAAGGTAGCCACCCTCAAGCAGGAAGGGCAGTGTCAGCACAAATTCAGAGATTTTTAGAGAATCTTAAGCCAATTGATACACAAATAAGATACATTTTTGTTAATAGTTTTAGGTACTTGAATGTATTTCTCTAAGTTTTAACTCCTGCGTTTAGTGTCCCTTTAAGGTTTGTGCTGTAACCTGGTTGTAGATGACCCAGTTCTGCTGCTGTTGGTACCTCAAGTTTAAATTAAGTCATAAAGTATGACTGCTGCAGTCAACTCCTCATGTGCTGATATATAGTGGTTCTAACACTCTCTTGCTTACACTTTTATTTCCTTTTCCAAGAATTAAGTTTTATTCAGGTGTTGCACTAGAGCAGGACATGACTAGGATACACTCCAAAGTCAAAAACCCCAATCAAAAAAATCACAAGGAGTGCAGTGTGGGGAAGATTGGGCAACCAACTTTCACTATTTAGGCTTCTTAGTATTAGAGATTTTTTTTTTTAAATCTGTGTTTTAAAACTGTTTTTGGGGTCTGCCACAGTTCCACTTTAAGGTTCGGTGCTTCTTTGTGTTATGTCTGTTTAAAGTAGCTTATCTGATCTAATAAAACTCGCAAAGATCTGGCAACCAAGGATAGACTATGCCCACCCCTCCCTGAGCCCACATAGTCTTTCAGCCCTATAGGCTTTCA